CCCCAAAACCCCAAAACCCCAAAACCCCTCCTGAAATTTGAAAAATTGAATAGAGTTTATAGCATAAAATCATGACTTCGCCCATTTTTGTAGCTGAACTTAGATTTATTGGAGTAACATTAGTTGTAGAATTTAGAGATATTCACTTTGATATTGAAGATTTATTAGATCAACAAGCAGTAAATCCAACTCTCCACTTGGGATAACTAACTAGGAGAGAGAAATTAACACTCAAACATAATTCCTACCTACAGAATGGTCTGAGTATTTAGAATCTAAAATAAGTATCCTTCATATGAACTGTACAAAATTGAATACTTAATGCTAATGGCTCAGATTCTAGAAACATTCAAAATCTAGGAAGCTCCATTTACCTTAAACTTAGCAGAGATGAATCAGTAGTCAGGATCTTAATCTGAGAGGAGAATGAATAGCTATCCTCAGCAAATACGAACGTAAATTATGAATATCTCTGCCCATTCCTTTAATTGTGAGGGTCTAGAGATTTTTATCCTTTAATAACCCTGCTGAAGATGGTCAATCAAATTTTCTATCCCTAAAATGTCGTGCATTTAAGCAGACCCTGGCCGTTTAGAGGGAGACTTCAATTGATATCAAGCTTCCAGAGAAATGTTAATAAATTGCCCAAGATTGATTTCCAGTATAAATTATTTCGTTAATTTTCATTTGAAATATGGACGTTTAGGGTGTTTTACTTCAGATTTTCATAATTATTTGTCCTACTATTACTAAATAAAGTAGTAAAAATTTAAAAGAAGTAAACCATGTAAAATTTTGTGGAAAATCCTCAGTTAAGAAATATTATTAATCAAATCTTTCTCAGAGGCATGGAGACTGGACTAAATATTAATCTCCTGGTTTTGGCAAACCCAATTTTGATGAAGTCAGTAATATGACAATGCTCCATCAGTACTATGAGTTTTCAGAAAGGATTCTTAGATTATTTATAGGAAATTAGTATCTTCATTTGCTTCCTCCAAGAAAAATATAGAGATCAGAGCTTCCTATTTCTTCTTTCATGCCTCAAGTTTTTATCTTCAGAAATCACAATTAGTAGGAAAAGCGTATAGTCAGTTGCCTGACAATATTCATAAGTCCTTCATTTCCCTATTTCTTTTTTTCCTAACAAGGTCTGACAAAATCCAGTTTTAATACATCTGAGAAAACACAGCTAATAATTTAGATAACCTACACACATTGTGAGGATACACAGGATTGATTATACGAATCCAAGAGATTTTTAAAGACATTTTTGCTTATGAATGCTGTCACTAGACATTCTTAATGACCCCAATAGAATATTAGGACTGAGAATAGGCCTTATATTATAACTCGAGAGTAGGAACCTCTACTTATTGAAGCAACGTTGGAGAAGTAGAACAGTTTCATAGTTGAACTTACTGTCCTTAATAATGTTTAATTATCTTGGATACTGCAAACACTTGGAAATCCAAGGAAAATGGAAAGATAGTACAAATACTATCCAAAACTTGCTCTTTTGAAGATTTAGTAATGAACAGTACTTTAGCTTCTATCTTACCAAACCTAGGCATGGTAGCACAAGTTTTTATATAATGTTTAATCCTCAATGATGTCTTCAGAGTCTGAAAAATAGAAAAATGTAGAATTTCACCTATAATCGAAGAAATAACTATGGCTTCATTTTGAAACCCCAATTAAGCAAATTATTTTATAATTAGAGAATTTTGCTCATGAAGTTAAATAAATATCCAAATTCGTGTGTTTATTAACTTGAGAAGTTTGAGATACTATTAAAATGATAAATTTCAGGGAATCGCAAATTTTCATTCAGAAGATGAAAACAAACTAAAAGGAGCTATTAAAATTGATTCTATTAATACAACTTCTCCTTCTAAATAGCCAGATTTAGCTTAATAAACCTCAGGAAGGATCTTTATGCATCTTTAATTATCTCCAGACTTGGTTTCCTTGCATCTCTCACTATCTCTGGTTCCATAAAAACGACAGAAATTTAGAAATCGCTAAATTTTATTTACCAAATCGAGTGAATATTTTGGGATGCTCACTAAAATTTATTCAAGAAATAAGCATCCGAAAGGTGAAAACTCTCCTTATTTTGCTGTACAATAATACCGAAACCTTCTGTGGCTTTATTAGCAGGTTCGGGTCAGCTGGTCGTCAGTTTGTCGCCCGAATAAGCCCATTGAGTATAAAATAGAGTTGAAGACGGAGTATTCGAAGTATTTTTATAAATGGATAAAATATGACCCATCCTACTGGATGGGATAGTGGTATGTATTATTTTATAATCCTTGGGTTTTCTTCAACCCCTCCTTCATTCTTGAGAGAAGCAATGGAGACTCCATCACTTGTTTCTTCTTTCAAACCATTTTCCATCCTGAAAGATCAGGAGGAAGAGAACTCATTTTGTGAAATGCCTTGTGGGGTTTTGAGAGTGTGTCTTGTTCACTAGGTTTCGATATCAAGTTCAAGTGGTCACTGAAAGAGTTTCAAACTCTGCCAGTAGATTTTATATCCTTGAGTGAAATTTTTTGTGGAAGAACGACTTTTTGTGAAAACCTATCTGTGTCTCTGTCGAGTTTTCACTCAAGTTTTCTAGCAGTTGTGATATCTCCCTTGTTCATCAATAAGGTATTTACAAATTGTTTAGTCTCTTTAAGACGATGGGAATGAGTAGGTGAGTCATCCTCCTCATTTACCATTCAGTCCTCATCTTTCCAGATATCAGTTGGTTGATTCATTGACATTTTAAATATTATTAAATTATGTTCCAGCAAGCTACTATTTATGGGGTTTTGGGGTTTTGGGGTTTTGGGGTTTTGGGG